ACACACACACACACACACACACACACACATATATATATATATATGTAGTGTTTATCAAAAAACGAGAGAAGAGAAGGGTAGGTTGGAAGAAAGAATTTATTGCACTGGAAACAGTCAAGGGTACCAAGTCCTAGAACTCAAGGGCAAAGGAAGTTTAGAGCCTAGACAAAGTCCCCAAGGACAACAAGGGCACGGATAAAAGCAGAGTAAGGGAAGAAGTGTAGAGCTAGACAAAGTTCCCAAGGACCAATCTCCAGACACCAGTGAGATGTCTCTGCACCTCACTTTTCAGCCCTTCACCTCCCTTTGCCCTACTCCCATCTCAGCTCCTGCCTTATTGGACACTAGTCCCAGTCACGGCTTCCAAAACAAGAGCCTATTCCTATTTCCTGGGTAGGTGGCAGACGTCTCTTATATTCTCTAGAAGAAAAATATCCTCAAGGTAGAACTCTAAATGGATTTTATTCTAGAAACACTGTAAAGAGACATTAAAAATCTGCAATAATACATATCCTTATTAAGTACATAATGGGTTAAAAAACACTCACGGGCTGATTAAAGGCCAATAGATTCCATGTACCCCCCCCCCCAAAAAATGCATTCACATTCCCAACACCTGTCCTCTAAAAAATATTGTTTATACAACCTGTTGGTTAGCTGGGGACATTCAGTAGGTATATTTTCAAAATGTAAAGATCATTTCTAGACATTGAAAAAATTTTTAAAACACAAATACTCACTGTAATTTTTATAGCTTTGTTCAACACATTTACCCATTCTACTAAGTCCTGTTGATCATTGGCTTGTAAGAAGTATTTCCTCATTCCTGCATTCATCACTGTTGAGGGAAAAAAATAAATAAACATGCGAAATACTATACATGTTAATTCTAAATTTATGTTTGCAGCAGCTAAAAATCTTGCTAAATTCGACACTGTTACTATCTTGCATTTGAAAAAATATGGTATACTATATTTAATACTGCTTTTATCAGTCAATAACATAAGTAAAATGCTTATTTCCTATGGCTATTTCCTTCATTAAATGGAAATACCACAATATATTTAGTCAATTCCTAGTGATGAACACATAGGTTATTTCCAATTTTAGAAATCATATAAAATATCAAAATGAAACATTATATACATATATTTCTCTATACTTGGACTAGTATTTCTATGGGATAAATTTCTTTACTTCTCAGGCCAAAGGAAGTACACATTCAAAATTTTCCTATGAGCAACTTGTCTTCCCAAAAGGTTGAATCCATTTACATTCCCACTGATAGCATATGCAAAGGCCTATTTCATCTCATACCCCTCACTGGTACTAGCTATCAATACCTGTACTAAGTACAGATCTTTAATTTTTGACTCCAAGGCTCTGTGACATTGGGGCTGGGTGTCTGCAAAGGATACTTCCTACACATCTTTGCCAGCCAGGGTCATGTTCTGTCAATGGGAGGAACTGATGGGAAATTAGAAGGCATGGAAAGGGGGAAAAAGGGGACTTTCTTGCCGATTCCTGTTCTTGCTGACCTCCCTCCAAAAGCAGTAGACACAAGTTACTATTCCAGGGCCTTCTGACACTCCTACACAGCTTTGTAGAGTTCTCTCAGATAACAATCACTAGCTCCATGATGGTTTCTCTTCTGCAGCCCTAAGTTATTCTTCCCTTTCGTCTCTCTAGTCCTAGGAGTGGCAGCTGGTTGGGTAGTTTCTGTTTTCTGGATTACTTCAGCATATCTTTTGTGCTCTTTCTGTCTTGCAACATTTGGATAACCAATTCCCTGTAACAAATTCCTTGGGTTTGAAATACCTAGTGTGGTGTTTTTTTTTTAACTGGACCCAGTCTTATAAAGTACTCTTTGACAACCTAACAGATAAATAATTATATTTTGTTTAATCTTGAGTTTCTTTGGTTATTGAGACAAATAACTTTGTGTGTTTCTTAGTCATCCGTATTTGTTTTGTGAGCTTAATTTTCTTTACACACATTTCTCTGGAGTTATTTCTTATTAATTTATAGGTATTTTATAACCCTTTTATCTGTTAGTTACATTTTATTTCATTCACATAGTTTTTCTTTTTTAATGTTCATTTATTTATGTCTTCCATTGTGGGGAGTGGGGAGGTACTACTAACAGCATCCTCATATAGCAATGTACCACTAGTCAGTCGGCCTGGATCCTGGTCATGCACATGTGACCCTAGTGCGTAGAGAAAGGACTCAGGACATGAACCCATGACCCTCCCATACGGGTCTAACTGTGCCACCATCTGGCCCCTGTACAAAATCTCTTTGATCAACAGAAAAATTCTATCAGTCTCATCCTGTAATGCCTCTAGATTTCCTATGATATTTAGAAAACCTGCCTAACTTCAAATTACAAAAAGAAATACCTCTTTTAAGCAGTTACAAATTTTCTTTGTATTCAAAATCTTGATATGTTTATACATTTTTACACAATCTAGTGTGTGTGTGTGTGTGTGTGTGTGTATGTGTATATGTCCATAACTATACCCCTTTAGGGCCTATCTATTTGTATAAAGTAAAACACATCTACACATATAGTTAGTCAACGACCATAGTCAACTCTTGAATTAAAGCCATTATTACTATGTGCATTTTCTTTTAAAACATAATTATTATTCTAGAGCTAAAGCACCTAAATAGCTACACTGTTATAACTGTTCGAATATAAAAATAGCTTTCAAAGTCTCCAGCAAAATTTTAAATAACATGCTGTACCCAGATGAATGTCTAAGAGAAAGGAGAAATGAAAACCCTCAAGGAAAAAAGTTATTTCTCAAACATGCAAGATTTTTAAAATTGGGAATGACAAAGCACTAAACCAGAACTTCCCTGAACTGAGATGAAGGTCTTAGAAGTTAAAGCATATCTTGTAAAGAGCTATAAAACAGTTTGTCTGGAAACTCGAAGAAATTTAGCACAGTATTAAGTCTGTTCTTTTTATATCTTCCTAGAAAATGGAAAAATTGTATATACCATAAATATATATTAAGATAAAACAGTAACTCACTAGGACATTATATGTCCATTAAAAAACTTCTGTTTTTATCTCAAGCAATTAGTAAGGCATCCTTTTATAATCTGTCACCAGCTTAGACTAAAGCTGAGCTCTCCTCATAATGGCTTCTTCCTTTCAATATTCAAAAGTCTTGGGCATCAGCCCCAAACTTCTAGAGGGTTCAAAAACCTATTCACTTATTAGCATACTGCATGTGGTACAAAGTAAATGTTAACATATATATTTTTGGCTATTAGCTACATACGGACCTCTCTTAAGAGAGAGAAGAAGCAAATAACTCTGTAAGAAGACTCTTGACATGGGTGTGGTGGTTAAGGCACTGGACTCTTAGACTCCCTCATAGTCAACTGTGATTGGAGTCCTGAACCTGGCAGCTTGCTTTCTCACTTTCCCTTTTTTTTTTTTAAGTTTTTTAAAAAGAATTATTAATTTAACTTTATTCATTCATTCATTCATTTTTAATTTGACCAGAGTGGACACAGAGAGAGAGAGAGAGAGAGAGAGAGAAAGTGAGAAAGCAAGCCACCAAGTCCAGGACTTGAACCATGGTCGGCCATGTGGGAGTGCCCAGCGCCTTAACCTCCACACCACCCACTGGTCCCTCACTTTCCCTTTCTCTGTCTCTCTCTGGTCAAATTTAAAGAAATAATAATAATAATAATAAAATTAAATAAATAAATAATCAAAATTAAATCATTCTTAAAAAAAGAATTATCATTATTTTATTTTTTATTTTATTGAAGTTGACCAGAGAGAGACAGAGAGAGGAAAGGAAAGTGAGAAAGCAAGCTGCCAGGTCCAGGACTCAAACCACTGTCAGTCATTTGTAAGTCCAGCCACCTTAAGCACCAGGTCACCTGTTGGTCCCCAAATTAAATAATTCTTGGAAAACAAAAAAACCTGTGTACACATCTTGCAGTCCAAATAAAGACCCATATACTTTAAGAATTATTTCAAGAAGCCAGCAGGTTACATAGTGGTTAGGGCACTGGACTCCCACATGACCAAATACGGTTTGAATCCCGGACCTGGCAGCTTGCTTTCTCACTTTCCTTCTCTCTGTCTCTGATGACTACAACAAGTTAAATAAAATAAACAAAAAGAATTACTTCACGCCCAGATAGTGATATGATTTAGAAAAAGTTAGCATGGGGGACCAGCAGTTGGCATGATGGCTATGTTGCTGGACTCCCATGTAGTTGATCGCAGTTGGAGTCCCGGACCCAGTGGCTTACACTCACGTGGGGTGTATGTGCGGGCGTACCCAAGATCCCGAGAGAGAATGGAGGAGAAGAGATTGTGGCATGGTCATCCCCCCAGGGGCTGATTTCTCTCTTTCTGTCTCTCTGTCTTTCTGGTGAGCGCACATGCCCTAATAGCAAAAACCTCTCCAAAAAAAAAGAGAAAAAGTTAGCATGGACTCAGGCAGACCTGACTAGCTAATGCACTTCCAAGCAATGATCATCTTAAGAACATTACTTAGTCTCTGTCCTGTTTTCCTCATCTATGAAATGGGAATGCTACCCACCCCTTCCTTGAGAGGCAGAGATAATAACATGTAAAACAAACAAACAAACAAAACAAAACTAGCACAGCACTTGGGGAGAAAACAGAAACTCTTTTTCTTCATCACCTGGAAATTTCCAGGAATTAAGGAAATATTGGGTCATCAGAAAAGTCATGACGCATTTTTGCACAGAAAAACAGGTCGTGACTTTTCCACATCCAAATACTTTGGAAAATGTAAAGCAAATTACAAACAAGTGGAGTATTACCAGTATGGTGTGGCGAGTGGAGAGGTCAGGAGAGGCAAAAAAAAGCAAAACACAACCAACTTCGATGAAAAAACAAAACTACGACGCCTTCACATTGTCATGCCTTTAAAGCAAAGTTTTCATCAGGAATAACAAATGCATCCCAAGAGGCTTGTTTCCTTCCTTTCACTTAATTGTTTTTTTTTATTTTACTTGAATTCTTTACCATCAGAGTGAATTCATCAAATGGATAAAACTTGAAGCACAGGGAACCAGCAGTTAGCGTAATGGCTATGTCACTGGACTCCCACGTAGTCGACCGTGGTTCACGTCCCGGACCTAGTGGCTTAAAACTCACGCCGGGCGCGTGTGCGTGCTTGGTGCCCAAGATCCTGAGAGGAGAATGGAGGAGAAGGGATTGCGTCGTAACCATCCCCCCTGGGGGGTGATTTCTCACTCTCTGTCTCTCTCTGTCTTTCTGGCGAGCACATACACCCTATAGCAAAAACTTCTAAAAAAAGAAAAAGAATTATTTATTTAATTTTATTTATTCATTCACATATTTTAATTTGACCAGAGAGAGACATAGAGAGAGAGAGAAAGGGAAAGCGAGAAAGCAAACCACCAGGTCTGAGACTCGAACCATGGTTGGTCATGTGGGAGTGTCCAATTTCTTAACCACCATGTCACCTGCTGGTCCCCAGGTGGCACTGCTTTCTACATGCATTTTAGGAGAAGCCCCACAGGATCTCTGTCTCTGGGGGGCGCAAGCGCCGTATAGCGAAAAACTCCTCAAAAAAAAAAAAAAAAAAAAACTTGAAGCACAAATATTAGCTTAACTGCAAACAAAACCATCTCATAACCTAGGCTCAACTGGATATGATTCAAATATAGTTACAGATCAAGTTGAGTTACTTTATCATACTATTTCTTTGTCAGCTTTTTCCAGTTTTCTCTATTCTATTCTTTCCTTCGGTATCAAAAGTTGGACTTCCTTGGTAGAGTATATATATCATTTTATTTCTCTCCTATTATTTATCTTTACTTTTATTCTACTTTTAGATTTCATTGACTTTTCTTACAAGTTTTGCCTTATCTGTATTCCTTCTACTGTTTGACAATTTCCTCATATGCTAAGTAATCTTGGGCTGCCTATTCTTACTTAAAAAAGGCACTAAAAAGACTGACAAGAAGTTCTCTTGGATTGTTGTAGTTGCTGACAGATAGATCTCACTGTGTGGCAAGCTTTTCTAGCAGAAATGCCCAGAAATATCCTAGTAGGATATTCAAGTCTTATCCCACCAAAACCTAGGTGCCCAATGCACTGGGGTTGGATAAGTAAAGGCTGCCTTCAGTGTTTAGATTTTCACTTAATTCTATTTCAGGTTCATGCCTCATTCCTCCCCTTCTCTGGGACTAGCACCCCTAAGTACAGAGCCTCATCGACTCTATTTCCGGAGACACCACACATCCCATTTCCTCCAGGGATGGAGGAATGGTGGCTGCCTCACTGAGCCAGATGGAGGTAGGACTAGAGGTTATTTCTTATATACACATTCAAAGAAAGTCACTGTGTTCAGTCCCATTTTACTTTCGCTTCCCCAAAAATATATCTCCCATATCTAAGTCTGTCTAAATTGGGTAGGGCCAGGACATAGTTAGCTTTTCTTTGGTCTCTTTTTCTACTTTGCTAAATTATCTACCATTCCTCCAACTACTTTTCAAATGTCCGAAATCTTCATCAAAGATAGTTTGGGTGATTGTTCTCCCTGTTTCAGAATAGTTTCAGAGGAGTTACGCTGCCATTTTGAACAGAGGTTGTATTTCCATATTAGAGGCCAATGCCTCTCTCCCTAAAGGCAACTATTTCATGAATCTTTTCTCTATTTCCACTAATAAGTTACAGATTAATAAATGATTAATTTTTATCTTTGATTCTAACTAAAACAGCCATTCTAAATACTCCAATAACTATGAATATCAAACCTAGTACTACTATTTCTTCAAACTTTAACTTTGATATTACCAAAAAAAATTATTTTTCAAAAGTATGTGCATTATAATTCTAAAATATACTGTTCTGTGTTGCTTGACCCTCCCCCACTAGCATTCATTTACAAGGCTTTGAGGCATTTTCCTATTCAGCACCCAAAATTACAATCTGTTTCAAACTATTCTGAAACAAGGAGAACAATTACCCAAATATCTTAACCACTGCAGTGGTTAAGGTGCTGGACCACATGGCCAACCACATTTCAAGTTCCGGACCTGGCAACTTGCTTTCTCACTTTCCCTTTCTCTCTCTGGTCAAATAAAAATAATAGTAACAAATAAAATAATTCTTTTTTAAAAAATTACAACCTGTAATAAACATAGAACTTTTTATAAAGTCACTCAGTATTGATAACAACATTATAACGGAGTTGGTGAACAGCTGTATTTAATCCTATCATATTTCTTATTGAATAGATTTGATTGCCATGAGATGTTATTCCTAACATACCTATAGAAGGCATGTGTCCTTTGCAAGCAAATAACTTTAACATCAGGCTTATGCTCAAAAGTATCTTTTTTACTTTAATATAAAATATTCCCTTTTGATGTTGGCTGTCCACTCCTGGTTTATTTTGGTGATTGCTGTTTTAGGGCACATGCACTCACTGGAGAGAAGAAAAGGAGAAATCACCCCATGGGAGAGGGCCACCTCACAGTCCCTTATCCTCCATTTTCCTCCTGGGATTTTGGCATCCAAGCCTGGCATGATTTTCAAGCCACCAGGTCCAGGATTTGAACTGCCATTGGCCACGTGGGAGTCCAGCACCTTAACTACTATGCCACCTGCTGGCTTGGCCACCCCTAATTTTTGTCCTGTCCATCACTAATGTCTACTAACATACTCTGTGAGAAGATATCAATTTTCCCAGCTTCAGCTATCACCCACTATTTTAAGACTACAAATTTCTCCTTTCTTGATCTTTAAAAAAACAAACAAAAACCCTCTAATCCTCAATTATTGCCCTTCTATTTGGAAGTTCTCTTACCATTTTAAACTCCTTGCCAAACATTTTAGCCTATGTAATCAGCTCTCCCCAATTCTCTGTATCTTTAAACTTCCCTGCTACCTCTCTCTAGCCTTCAACTCCCACACATCCAGCCAACATGTCCCTGCACTTTTCCGTCCAATGTTTTTCACCTTTCCTCTTTCTCTTATTGCCACCTCCTTAATTCAGGCCTTCACAATAACTACTGTACTTCAGAAGCCACTTAACTCATCTACCAGCATCAAGAGTCTACTATCCATATGAAAAATGAACAAACCTCCTTCCCCTAAGCCTACATTCTAGAGGCTACTTTCTCCCCTTCCTTTTTCAAAATAAAATGTATCACTCGTAAACACACTGCATCCTGACCTCTGCCTGCGGTTTATTCTTTAGCCTCTTGCCATTCCTCCTCGCTTGGCTTAGCACTCAATTCCTTGAACACCATGCACTTCTCTCCTGCACGACTCTATCCTTGTGGTCCTGACACCATTTATCCCGAGATAAAGGATGATCAGCGTAGCTGACCACAAACTCAAGTGTATCCTCATTCAATGTAACTCCCCACTCCAAAGCATCCCAATAAGGATTTGAAGCTCTTCCTTTGTGCTTCTTCAATAAATTGTATATTCCTTTATCTACTGATAGTGATAAATGCAATAATTACCTCATGATCTGTTTATGAGACAACTGGCCTGTGAGATCCTTAAGGGCAACAACTGCTTCTTATTTATCTCACAGCCCCTAAGCCACTGACCATTTGCTGAACAAAATAACTGACACTCAACAACCCTTGCCCCTGGACTGTAAATTTCTCATTGCCCCAAATCTTTTGCATTATTTAGATATTTAATAATGAATGATACAAGGTAGAAAGTAACAAATTATCTGAAACTCCACTGGAAGTGAACATTAAAAATGCCAAGAAAACAGTTACATGTGGGTAGAGGAAAGAAGTTGTAACTAGAGTAAGATGCAGACAAAAGCCTTCTCAATGGAGAAGGGCAAAGCTTTATTCCCTTTCCTGGGTGGTAGTTACAAGGGAATTCATCTTAGAATCATTAATTAATAAGCCCTGGTTCTTTGTGTGTGTGTGTGTGTGTGTGTTTTGTGACTGTTTCTTTTATAAGATGATGTAATTATATCCATTCCATTTAAAACCATTAACATAAAATATAACTACTTACCAAAACAGAATTCAGCCTTTGGCCTTAATTTGGTTGCATCACTAACCTAATAAGAAAAAGGGAGAGAAGTTACTTCTTCATATGCTCCTATAATCAACTTAATACTGTATAAACTTCTACATACATGATATCCTAGTAATCACACATATTTAGCATATAGATCTAAAAATAAAGTGTAAAAGGAACTGAAAAACAACAACAAATTAAATAAAGGCATAGGTCCTAACAATACAATGTTTATAACAAAAGATACTTCCATGTTTTCTTTGACTGCTTTTGTTTTTTCTTCAAAGGAAATGTGACAAAGTTTAAAGTAAACCAATAGGCTTTATAGTATACATTTATTTTTAGTGTAACATCATTTTCAAAATACCCACGATAAGAATTCTATAGAAATTATAAATTTTTCCAAAAATGGGAGGGGCAAGAGGCAATTATTTTAAGTCCAAAATCAGCTATAAGGAAATCAGAGTGGTATTTGAGTTTCTCTTGTACAGAATACTCAAGGATATTAAATGGCTTCTCACTGAAGAAGGTAAAGCAGGTAGCTGCCCTAGGTAACAGTTATCCCTTTAAAGAAAAGAGCTCGTAGAAGCCCATTCATGATTTTTGTCATGCTGATGCCCAACAATAGAACTCATAACTGTGCAATCTGTTTTGAACCTTCAAAATAATTTTTTTAAGGAATTTTTACTTTATTTATTTATTCTAATTTGACTAGAGAGGGACAGAGCGCACAAGCATGTGCACCTGAGAGAGAGCGAGAGAGCAAGAGCGAGAAAGAGAGAAAGAGAGAAAGCAAGAAAGCAAGCTGCCAGGTCTAGGATTGAAACCAAGGTCGGTCAGGTGGGGGTCCAGGGCCCTTAACCACCACACCACCTGTCAGCTCCCAAAAAGAAATTCTAAGTCTAGAATTCCTCACTGATCCAAACTATAAATTCATAGTTCTGAGTCACATTGAAGTTTGTTCCAGGTACAAATTCTAGAGGAAAAAAACGTGGCAGGTCTAAAGTAGAACATAAACTATACAATTCAAACATTGGTAAGCTGTAGGACAGAGATGAAAGTTAACAGAATTGCACAGGGAAAAAAAAAAGCAAGGTCATACTTTAAAAAAGAAACAACAGAGACCAGCAGATGGCATAATGGTTATGTCGCTGTACTCCCACATAGTCAACAGTGGTTCAAGTCCCAGACTGAGCAGCTTAAAACTCATGATGGAGAGGAGAATGGAAGAGAAGAGACTGCAGCATGGCCATCCCCCCCGGGGGATGATTTCTCGCTTTCTGTCTCTCCATCTGTCTGGTGACAGCACATGTCCTATAGCAAAAATCTCTCTCTAAAATACAAACAAAAACAAAGGGAAACAATAAAGGAAGTAAAACCTGCTGGCCAGTCACCTTGACTGCTTTACTGAGTTAATACTTTATTTCCAGAAAGAGTTCCCATTCTTTTTTTGTTTTGTTTTGTTTTGTTTTCGCTATAGGGCGCGTGCGCTCGCCAGACAGAGAGAGAGAGACATAGAGACAGAAAGCGAGAAATCACCCCCCAGGGGGGATGGTCACGTCACAATCCCTTCTCCTCCATTCTCCTCTTGGGATCTTGGGCACGCACGCACACGCGCCCGGTGTGAGTTTTAAGCCACCGGGTCCGGGACGCGAACCACGGTAGACTACGTGGGAGTCCAGCGACATAGCCATTATGCTAACTGCTGGTTCCCCCCATTTTTAAAAAGACCAAGCAACAGGGCCAGCAGGTGGCGTGGTGGTTAAGGGCGCTGGACTCCCAAAAGGCTGACTGTGATTCAAATCCTGGAACTGGCAGTTTGCTTTCTCACTTTCCTTCTCTCTCTCTCTCTGGTCAAATTAAAATACATTAATAAAGTTTTAAAAAGTTAAAAATGCATTAGCAGTACACAAATTGTTTAATAATACTTTTTGCCATTTCATATTTTAAGTCACTGACAAACTTTTATTGCTTCTGTGTAAAACACAAAAAAACATAGAACTAATACCTCAGTGTCTCTCAGTTCCCAAAACACCAATAATAGAAAATAAAGGAAAATATTGGGCTATCAGAAAAGTCATGACATACTTTTCTGTTTTTCTATGCAAAAATGCATTATGACTTTTCCGACAACCCAACAGTTACCTGATCAATATAAAATTTAAGTTTATGAAAACAGAAATATTACAAAACTGCCAGAGAAAGAAATAAAAGAGGAAACAGAAATTAGTAGAGACAAAGTGAAAGAGGAGAAAAAAAATCTTTTCAATATGAAAAGAATCCATATTATCCTCATAATAAAACATAAAGAAACAAGGGGCAGGGCTGGCAGTGTGGTGGTTATGGCACTGGACTTCCACATGGCCAACTGTAATTCAAGTTCTTGCAGCTTGCTTTTCTGCTTTCTCTCTCTCTCTCTCTCTTATACCCCCCCCAACTCTCTCTCTCTCACTCTGTCCCTCTCTGGTCAAATTAAAATAAAAAAATAAAGTTAAAAAAAAAAATTTCCCAAGATAGAACCTAACTGTTAACTTTTTTTCTCCCTTTTGATGTGCACAGACCTGATCATAAATGTTAATTATAACTTGGAATTTGCCATTCTATAAGTTAAATTCACATTCTTCCTAATTTTATCAGTTTAAAGAACTTCCTAACACAGAGATCAAGTTCCATTTTCAGCATGATATGAACCACACATCACCATTAAATGGAGAAAAAAATTATAAAGGACCCTGCTGTTTCTACTCACACTCCCATACAGAGAGATTTTAATTCATATGTGAATATAAGACAAGTGTATAAAGACTACTACCTTTGAAATGTAGGTAAGTTTAATGGCTCCAACACGTGATGATCCAGAAGGCAGGTTCTAGAAACAAAACATTAACATAAAGTTAACAATCCAACATTATGAATATGAAGTTCTTCACAGATAATTGTAAAAGTCAAAAAATCAGGTTTCTTGGGACTAGCAGATGGCGTGGTGGTTAAGGGCACTGGACTCCTACATGGCCAACCACGGTTCGAGTCCCGGACCTGGCGGCTTGTTTTCTCACTTTCCCTTTCTCTCTCTCTCTGTCCCTCTCTAGCCAAATTAAAATAAGTAAGTAAATAAAGTTAAGTAAAGCAATTCTTTTCAAAAAATCAGATGTCTTAATATCACATTTCACAAATCAATTTTTCAGTTCAAGTATTTACTAGGTCTGTCAAATTAGCAACGTGGATAACATAACTGAAACCTACTCTGTTCCATCATAATGTATTCCGTAATTAAAGTTTGTTTTTTTTTTTTAAATAAATGGGGTTAAACGAATTTTTTTTCTTGAGCTTAAAACACCATTAAAAAGAAATCAGAGTTTTGTTCCTAAAAGCAGCAGCAGAGGGGCCAGCAGGTGGTGTGGCTTAAGGTGCTGTACCCCCCCAAAATCAAGCCAGGCGTGTGCATGCATGCCCAAAATCCCAAGAGGAGAATGGAGAAGGAATTTAGCATGGTCATCCCTCCTGAGGGGTGATTTCTCACTTTCCCTCTATCTTGCTCCAGGGAGAGCATGTGCCCTATGAAACAAAATCTTAAAAAAAAAAAGAAAAGAAAAAAAAAAGAAAGACGAAAGGGAAGAAAATATTTAGAGACAACACAAAACAAATACAATTATAAGAAACTTTAAAAGACTATACATACCACTTTGTTCTATTAAAATTTAACAAATACATTGCTTGAAAAAAATAGGATTCTCCCCCCCATTTAAATGGTTTAATGTTCGTTATACCATAGTTAATCTACATTTTTTCCAAAAAAAAAATATACTCTTTAAATCACATGCAGGTACATAGGCACTTTCACACAAAATATTTTTATTTTTCCCTTCACAAGTTTAGGGTGTGCTCTGTGTCATAAAAGAGCAAAGGGTAAAAAAATCATGAAGAGGGAGAACCACTTTCTAATAGCTGAAGCTATCAGAAACAACATTTAAGCCAAACTTTAAAGAAAAATTCTGAAACACAATGAACAGGAGAATATTTGAGACAGAGAAGACAGATGAGTTGTGGCAAGGAACTAAGAATACACTGAAACCCTGTACCAGAATGGCAGAGTGACTGGGCTGGGCTTAATATTACGTTATACAGGGTTAGAGTAGAAAATGGTGGCTTAGGAGGTCGAATCCAGTACCTAATTATAGAGGACCTAAATAAAAAAATAAAGTGGCAAGAAAGTTATCTGTCAAGAATTTAAAATCAATATAGAAGATTTAAGAGTAGATCTGTAATCAAAATTATGTTTTAATAGATCTCGTAATATAATAAACTAGACGTATTACAGAGGGGAAAGATAAAGGCAGAAAAACCAGATAAAAGAATCTAGGAAGAAATAACAAAAAATATAAATTAAAAGACTGCCAGTAAACCTCAAAAGTAAAACTAAAACAATCTCAATCTTGATTTTGAAAATTACCTCTGGTAAAGATTAAGGTTGACTTTTTAACTGATATATTAAATATACATTTTTTTAAGTCGTTTTTTCAGAACTCTATACGCTTACTGGAAGCCGAGAAATTTCAAAAACTTAACATTCCCAAACGCAGCCACAGTGATACCAACAAGAAAGCACAACTGTATGATGGCTGAGTCCAAATGGAAGGCCTGGGTTCGGTTACTGACCCAACCTAAAAAGCCTAGATCTGTGGCAAACGCTAAACCAATTTTTCCCTCTCTCACATACATATGCTCTCCCTCACTAAAAGAAGAAAAAAGAATAAAAGAAAAACATTATGTGGCCAGCAGGTGGCGTGCTGGTTAAGGTGCTGGACTCTCACATGGTAGATCACAGTCCAAGTTTTATTTAGACCTAGCAGCTTGAAACCACACTGGATGTGTGTGCCTAAGATCCCAGGAGGAGAATGGTGAAGAAGGGATTACGGCATAGCCACCCCCACAGGGAATGGTTTCTCACTTTGCCTCTTACTGTCTCTTTCTCTAGGGAGTACTCACACCCTATGGTGAAAATCTAAAAATGAAAAAAAGAAAATTATCAAACATGAACCAATTATTGTTGACAGAGACAGGGCTATTTAAAACTTCACAAATATATAAAGAAAAAAATGGATTATACAGGAGCCAGCAGGTGGGGTGGTGTTTAAGATGCTAGACTCTGACATGGCCAACCACAGTTTGAGACCGGGCAGCCTGCTTTCTCATTTTCCCTCTCTCTCTTTCTCTGTCTCTCTGGTGAGCAGATGTGCCCTATAGCAAATTTTAAAAAGTAATAACAAATAAAATTAGTCATCTCTTAAAAATGGATTACACAAAGTCCAACAGATGGCGTAGTGGTTAAGGCGCTAGAGCCCACATGGTTGACTGTAGTTCGAGTTCCAAACCAGGCAGCTTGAGAATCACACCGGGCATGAGTGCCTGTATACCCCAATCCCAGGAGGAGAATGGAGGAGAAGGGATTGTGTCATAGTCATTTACACGGGGAAGTATTTTCTCACTTTCTGTGTCTGTTTCCTCTATGATCCCACGTACCCTATGGCAAAAACCTTATCTGACAAAAAAAAAAGAAAGAAAGAAAGAAAGGGAAGGAAGAAAATGCAAAAATGTTTTTAAAAATCTCTAACTACTACCAAAGTGATTTTTTTCCAAACAGTACAACCTCTCCACTTAAGATAATTATTTCTTTTAAATCTCCTATTAGTCTGTAATTTTACAGCTCTAAGCCTTTGTGTGGAAAAGAGAAACGAGAAACTGAAGCATGAGATAAAAGGTCACAGATAAAACAGAACAAGACAGGGAAATAGAACTGGCTGGGAGATAAAAAATAGTCAAAATACTCATTTTCTATGGACTAGTATGATAGCTGTCAAGTTCAATTAGAAAAAAAAACTGGTTTCAATATTTGTTACTTGACAATGAAGAATAATAAACTAATGTGACATTTAAGGTAAAAAGGGAAATAAGCCATTTGTTATTTATGAGTTCCTGAACTCATTTTGTCAAAAACTTTTTCAAATCTTAAGTTCACTCTCTAGTACAGCTATTTAATTATTTAATTCACTGCCATTACCAACCTCCTCAACAAAACACAGAAAGCCTCAAATTGATCCCTAGAAATACAGAAGAATGGAACTTTTTTCTTTTTTCTTTTTTTTTTTTTTGGTGTTTGCCATAGGGCACAGCTTCTGTGCTAGCTGAACAGACAGAGAGCAGGAAAGTGACATCCCCAAAGCAGATGGCCATGCCGCAATCCCTTCTCCTCTTGGGGTTTTGGGCATGTGTGCACATGAGCCCAGTGTAATTTTCAAACCATCATGTCTGGGAGTCAAACTGCGGTCAGTCATACGAGAGTCCAGTACCTTCACCACACCACTTCTTGTCCCTGCAGAACGGATTTTTAAACCAGTGGCCAGTGACAAAGAAATCAGGGATCAGAGAAAGAAGTGGCTCCCTAAGAACAGATGAATCAAAATAATTCTCTTTCTTTACTAGGATTATTACAACGTATAACCATGTATTGTTCCTTGACAAAAACAAGTAGGTTGAACCATATGAAATTACCATTTTTAGTAATTCAAAATGGTTATATGTTATCAACTTCATATGGTTCAAACTAAATTTAAAATCTTACCATGACAGTTTACTAAAGTTTTCATTGAGATGTTTTGATTATTGCACTTAAAAATGACACAAAGTTAATTTAATAGCTAATACCTGGTTGGCAGACTCAAAATTATAAAAGATTCTCACAAGTTGGAAAGAGGATATAAAATAAGAATAAACTGAAAAAGACAGATGTAAAATTCTGCATAGGCCAGCTCTGTAGCCTACCAGTTAAAGGAGCCAGATCCTATATGGCCAACCATGGTTCAAATCCCGGCCCTGGTGGCTTAAAATACATGCCAGGCATGTGTGTGCATGCCCAAAATCCCAGCAGGAAGGAGAAATGGAGGAAGGACGGTGGCTTGACCATGCCCCATGGTGGCAGGGCACGTGGGTGCTCTCTTTCCTCACTCCCCACAATTAAAATAAACAAATAATTATTGTACATTGTGTCTAGAAAAAACAATGAACTAATTATAAAATGTGTATATATATATATATATATATATATATATATACACACACACATATATTTGGTTTTTTAAAAGTCTATGTGAAGGGGCCAGTGGGTGGCGTAGTCGTGAAGGTGCTTGACTCCCATATGGTCGACCGTGGATCAAATCCTGGACCCAGTGGCTGAAACTAGCACCAGGTGTAGAATCCTGGGAGGAGAAGGGATTGTAGTGTGGCCATCCCTCTCGGGGGTGATTTCTCACTTTCTGTCCCTCTCTGTGTCTCCAGCAAGTGCAGGGCCCTATAGCAAAAATCTCTCTCAAAGAAAATGTCTGGGCCAGCAGATGACATAGTGGTTATGTCAATAGACTTTTACATGGCCAATCACGGTTCGAGTGCTGGACCCAGAGGCTTCAAACTCATGCCAGGCACATGTGCATGTGTGCCCAATATCCTGGAAGGAAAAGGGATTGCAGCATGACCACACTCCTAGGGGGTGATTTCTCACTTTCTGTCTCTCTGGCAAGTGCACGTGCCCTATAGCAAAAATATCTCCAAAAAAAAAAAGGTCTATGTGAAAAAGTCCTAACTGAGTGTAAACCTTAACAAACAATCTCACTGCTAGAGTTAAAGTGAACTATTCTCTAAATAACCCAAAGGCTCTCTTGCCTTTATTTCTCGGCTCACATTATTCTTTAAGCACTGGAATATCCACTGCTTTACCTGTTGGCCAAAATCATATCTAACCTTCTCAGTCAATTTCAAATATAACCACCTCCATGAAGATTTCAACTCCTTCTTCTATATCTAGCAATAATTATACCCTTCCTCTGAATCCCCAGTTCATGCTTCATTCAGAGTAATAAATACAGTCAGTCCTCACTTAACAACCTACCTGTTTGATTGTCACTCAGGCTTACAATCAGTTCTCTAGCATAAGAAATCCTCTTTCTCAGTTTCTGTCTGATACCCACAGTTGGTTACTATTCATGACACAGTGTTCACAATCACACAAGACTACATATTTCATTTATAAATGTGTACTTTATTATATATCCATAGTCGTATTCAAAATAAATAAAAATGATTATGTCAGATTTATGTTACTGCGTCATGGTGTATCTTACTGCTTTCTGGTGTTTATCTAATGAACGTTTTCTGTATGGAAAGAATTACACTGTTCTAGAAGGGTATTCTGTGATCTCTACTGAGAAATACACACCATAAGGCACCACGAGCTACCTGCCTCTGAGTTCCTCGCTTATCAGCTAATTCACTAAATGACCTAGTTATAGAAACAGAACTCCGTCATTATGTGAGGAGTGCCTGTATATCCTTTGCACTTATCTTCCTTAAACTGCTAAGTGGGAAGCACCGATAAGATGTGAGGCAAAGAATTGTTACATATGAAAATAGCAAACAAGGAGTTTTACAAATTCAGGAGACACCATACGTAAGCCAAGTAGGCCTTGTGAAGAGACAAATAGGGAGAGAGCATACACAGAAATGTACAATGTTTTTTGAGGAGAACCAAGAATATGGATCTATTAAATAGTAAGTAGAGGGAGTTGACAGATCTAAGTTCCTACCTTGAGAAAAAGTTTGTGAGGAGACCAAATAAAGACATGGATCAAGGGAAGAATCTTATTTATATTTTAAATTAAAAAAAAAAAGTAAACAAGATTTTGATTTCTGCTGGCTTGGTGTTTCTTCAACTTACTGTGGTCAAGTAAATAAAAGTACTAATCATGCAGCTGCATAGCCAGGTGACTATCCCCAAGAAAGGTGGTGAGGCCCAAAGAGAAAAATAGGATGTCCACTGCTCTACAGGAGAGAAAGAAAAGTATAAACAGTTCCATGCCAAAAAAAAAAAGAAAAAAAAATGTTTCATACAATCCCAATACTCAAATAATATAAACTGAATTAAAATGTAAATTATTTCCCCAAATTTAAAAGGTTGCCTATTAATAAAAGCATACACTTAATTCATGCAGAACTAGAGGGCAAAAGTAGCAGTAGAAGGAACTATATGTTGGCTCACAGAAAAAAAATAGTAAGGGCCAACCAATGGCATATTGATTAAGCAGCTGGATCCCACATGGCCGACTGCACAGCTTGAGTTCCGGGCCCAGAAACTTGAAGGAAACACACACACACACACACACACACACACACACACTGGACACATGTGTCCACCCAAAATCTCAAGAGGAGAATGGAGAAGGGACTGTGGCATGGCCATGCTCCTCTGGGAAGGAGGTACTGTCTCATTTTTTCCCTCTTTCTCTCTGGCAAGCATACATCTTTAGCCAAAAAAAAAAAAAAAAAGAAGGAAATAGTAATAATTGAAGCAGAACCAAATTTAATATATACTTCTTAGTAATGCATAGTTCAAATAGCTACAATAAAGACCAAGGACAAATGGATTTCTTGCATTAAGGAGGAAACTGAATTAATACCAAGGTTCCTTATAACTCAAATTCTATTTAAACAAACATATAGTACTGACATATATAATATATGTACCTTGTCTAATCTAAAATCAGTATAGGGTATTTATCAGACTATCTAGTCCTTGATCTGTTAAACAGAATAGAACCTCTTAGGATTTCCTGCTCTTCACTAGACCTTACATCTCTCACCTGTGCAAGAAGCCGCTGGAGGAGATCAGCTTACAAGTTTGCTAATGATTCCTCCCGTGCTTCTGTACATACTTTCTCGCAACGTATGTCTACATTTTCAATTTTTGTAATAATGTTATTTGAAGATAAAGAGTTCCATAAGTAGAGAAAGTTTAAAACTATTCGACAACCTCAGGTCTCTCATAGATCTTAAAACTAAAATTCTAATTTCTAATTTATTGCTATGATTTGCAAGACAACTAAAATCAAAATGCATTTTAGTTCATGGATCACATTACAACGGTCGACTTACTTAGGTCTGACACTGTAAGATAAAAGGACTATATACATGTTACAGTATCAAGTAGATTTTTATTTATCAAAAAACAGCAATTTTTACCCTAGATTCAGCATCATAAATCTAAATGAATTAAGGATTCTCTATCAAAGACAGCATTTCTTTTCCAAAGAGTGAAGAACAAATATACGGGTGTTAAGATTTTTATCAAATAAATGTAGTTTCACTTTCTGAAATTCAGACAAGACAGCAGGTGTTGGTTATGTAGGGCAGGGAGAGTAGAGTCAGTGGAAATGAAAAAATATATACTATTTCAGGAGACAAATACTAACACCAGTACAATCTGTCAAATGCCTGAACAAGTACAATTTTTCCATGCATTTAAAAAGTGACCATTTGGATTTTACAAACCTGTGGATTATCCATGTACCATACAAAACTATCTTCTCTGGTATCCAGTATAAAATACCTTCGAAGAAATTTCCCGCTGTTTTCATTTTCTTCAATATCTAGAAAACCACAGATGCGATTCTGACGATCCACATAAGGCATTTCTGGGCTTGAACATTACACTGTAAAATAAAAATATTAATAGTAAATTCCCCATAAAAAAAATCACAGTATTTCTCAGTGGACTTCAAGTATAAAATGTGCTATGGTACAGTCTGTTTAAGAGGACCTTACTTTCCAACATTAGGTGGGGTCAGTTAACATAGACACACATCAACATCTGAGACATGGGCAAAATTGCTATTGAAATTAAGATGTAACTGTTCACATTGATGAGAATAAAGGAAACTTGATTCAGTTGAGGAAATGAATTCTTTTTTTCCCCAAAAAATAAACCCAGGTAAGCCAAATGTTTCAGCTATCCATACTTTAATTTCCTCATAAATCAAGATGATCTACCTTTTGGATTGTTTTTAAAAAATTTAGAACTATTTATTATTTATTTATTATTATTATTATTATTCACTCTGATCAGAGAGTGATGGACAAATGGATTGTTTGAGAGGAGGAGAAAGGATTGTTGCGTGGCCATTCCCCATGGGGGGTAGGGGGTGATTTCTTTCTCTCTCTCTCTCTATCTCCCTGGCAAGTGCATGCACCAATAATCTCTCAGAAAGAAAAAAAAAAAAATGTCTTTCAGAGCCTAGTTTATTTAACTCAGCATTATTTCCTCCAAGTTTGTCCATTTTGCCTCACATGACAGGAATCCATCCTTTTTATGGCTGAATACTGAGGCATAAATACCTCATTTTATTTACCATTCATCAACTGTTGGGCACTTAGATTGATTGCCTATCTTAGCTATTGTGAATAGCACCCCAATAAACATGAAAGTACAAATGATCTCTTATACATACTAATGCTCTTTCTTTGGGGTATATACTCATAATGGGGTTACTGGATTGCAAATTCTATTCTTCAGTTTTTGAGGAACCTCTATACTGCTTCCCATAGTGGCTATTCTAATTTACATTCCCACCAACAGTTCAGGAGGGCTCCCATTTCTCAACAGCCTCCTAGCACTTTTTACTCTGGTTTTGTTTTTTATAATAGCCATTCTACCTGGGGAGACATGATATCTCATTTTAAATTTTGATTTGTATTCTCCTACTGATTAGTGATGAGCGCTTTTTCATATGCGTATTGACTATTTACATCTTCCTTTAAGAAATGTCTGTTCAGATCAACTGCCCTCTGGCACTCATTATCTTTCACCATCCTGTCTCTCTAACACTCTCTGAATTGTTAAAACTAAAGTTGTACAAAATAAACTTAGCTAACATAAAAAGAGAGTAAAGCAGATATTATGTGCCTCCTGATGAAAACTATAAACACTATGTAGGAATGTAAGACAAAAATTATTTTTATCTAACTTTGATCCAGTCACTAAGACCCACTTATATCCAATTAACAATGTATAGGAAATACAGAACAGAGAGGAACATGTTTAACCACATAACAGGGATTCAACCAGCAAAAGCCAGACTGGGAAACAAAAGAACTCAACAGTTTCTTCAGCAAATAAAGTATTACAGGAAAAAAGGAAAAAGACACAAGTTTTACATTAAAAGCAACTTAAGAGGCATATCATATTCTGGCTCTGAAGTACTGAAACTTTTGTTGTATCAGTGAAAGTTAAAAACCACGACCTGGGTGACAAGTCATTTCCAATCATTTTTCTCTAGACACTATAGGCATGTGAGTTCTTCCTGATGGGATGATGAGTCCAAATCTGCAGTGTTGCAGGATGGCTTCTGTGATGATTTCCCAGTTCTTGGAGTTTTGGACAAAGAATCGAATGAAACACACAAATAGTATAAGGAAATGGTAGTTTATTAAGTAAAAGTACACTCCTAAGAGGTAGGAGGGGGCCTGAGCAGACAAAGAGTGGTTCAAAAGGCTTCAGCTGTTACATTCTGCATGATTTATCATTTTGACCTATGTCATGTGGGTTGATCATTGCCTGGGCGCAATGACTGTTCTCATCTCACTGGCTCTATCAAATGTGGCTAGTCCCACTGATTTCTCATTGGCTATGTCATATGTGGCTGGGCCCACTGGCTTTTTTTTTTTTTTTTAAAGGTCTCTCATATTTATTACTGAACCAACCTACCAATGCAGAACTTAGAGACAAGGTGAAGCATCATTTTTTCCCCAATAAACACAAATGTCCAGTCAATGGTGACCTTGATGTGGCAAGACCATAGTGACCTTGGCACAGCATAAATATATGGCCCATATCCTGTCCAGTTCCTCATAGACCCCGCTTGGTTCTTCTCCAGTGTCTCTTCTTGGATTTGTTCTTGATTTTTTTACCAGTTTTCATTCTAATCCACTGGGGAATAGGACAATTTTGTTTCTGTTTTTTGCCAGAAACCGCTTGATTCTGAAAGTCTTGTGAGAAGACATGGCGAAGAGCCGAGAGGACCGCTCACCCCACGAAGGCGGAGAGAGGAAGAGAAGGGAAAACAGTAGAAGGACGTGTTTAGAATCCCACTGGTTTATCTTTGACTATATCAAAAGTTGCTTGGGAGACCAGCAGTTGAGTAATAGCTATGTCGCTGGACTCTTATGTAGTCCACTGCGGTTTTGAGTCCCAGACCTGGTGGCTTAAACCCATGCTGGGCGCGTGTGCATGCACGTCCAAGATCCCGAGAGAAGAATGTTTTCACACTAGACAGGAGTGGTAGTTGCACCATCTTGTAGATGTATTAAATCCACACTACAATAGCTACTCTTATACCAATTTCACCTACAATATAAATACACAAGATATTTTAATGTTACTTAGTAGGCAGTTATTACAGTAACTGCTCCAACGCATTTATATTTTATACTGAAAAAGTAGACCAAATTATCTGCTTGTAAAAAGCTCATATCTCACTTCCTATACTGCCTTATGGAAAAATTGTCTTGAGACAGCAAAACTGTATAAAAACCAAGGAGAAGTTGTGAACAAGTGGCCAGCCCACACCCAGTTGTCCCAGCTATCCCTATAGAGTGCATGAAGAGGCTATCTTGCCCATTCAGTCAAGTCTAGTCCACAGATGCTTCCAGTACCAGCTGCCATATGACAGCAACTCTACAGAAGGTTCTAGAAGGGAAATGCTCAGATGAACCCAAGTCAACTCAGAAAAAGGTGAAAGATAATAATCAAGAGGGGTCGACAAGTGGCATGATGGCTAACAGCACTAGACTCCCACATGACTGACCAAGGCTTAAGTCTCAGACCTGGTAGCTTACTTTCTCTCTTTCTCTCTTTCTCTCTCTCTCTCTCTCTCTCTCTCTTTCTCTGTCCTTCTCTGGTCAAAGTAAAATAAATAAATAAGTAAAGTTAAAAAAAATTTTTTTTAAAAAATCAAGAACTTTGTGAATAAATATATTCTTCTGAGTTTTTGATTCCATAGATAGAAACTGTCACACAGATAGCTATTTAAAAATTAAAATGCACTTTTTGGGACCAGCAGTTGGTGTTAATGGCTATATTGCTGGACTCCCATGTAGTCGACCGCAGTTCAAATCCCAGACCTGGTGGCTTAGTTCAATTCCCAGACCCGGTGGCTTAAACTCACGCTGGGCATGTGTGAGTGCGAGCCAAAGAACCCAAGAGGAGAATGGAGAAGAAGGGATTGTGGCATGGCCATCCCCCATGGGAGTGATTTCTTGCTTTCTGTCTCTATGTCTTTCTGGCAAGCACACATGCCCTATAGCAGGAAATCAAAAACTATTTCTAACTGAATGAATAAAAAGAGATCAGGGAGCTGGCAGTTGGCATAGTGATTAAGAGCTCTGGACTTCCACGTGGCTGACTGCAGTTCAAGTCCTGGACCCGGCAATTTGATTTCTCACTTTCCTTCCCTCTCTCTTCCTCTTGCTCTGCCCCTCTCTTAATCTCCTCCCTCTCTCTCTGTCTCTCTTTGGTCAAACTGAAGAAAAATAAATAAATAAATAAATAAATAAATAAATAAATAAATAAAATAATTCTTTAAAAATAAAAGAAAAAAGTACAGAAGAAGGTATTGATGTTGGTCAGCAGGTGGCATGGGGATTGAGACACTGGACTCCCACATGGCTGACTACACTTCAAGTCCCAGACCTGGAGACTTGAAAATAATGCCAGGGGTATGTGTGTGCATGCCCAAATCCCAAGAGGAAAATGGAGAAGGAGGAGAAGGAACTGTGGCATGGCCGTCTCCCCTGGGGTGTGATTTATCACTTTCCCTCTCTGTCTCTTTCCAGTGAGCATACAAATCCTATGGCAAAAACCTTTTTTTTTTTTTTTAAAAAAAGAAAGAAAGAAAGAAAGAAAGGAAGGAAGGAAGGAAGGAAGGAGAGGGACCAGCAGTTGGCGTAATGGCTATGTCGCTGGACTCCCATGTAATCGACCGTGGTTCGAGTCCCAGACCCAGTGGCTTAAACTCATACCAGATGCGTGTGTGTGCGTGCCCAAGATCCTGAGAGGAGAATGGAGGAGAAGGGACTGCAGCATGGCCATCCCCCCGGGGGGTGATTTCTCCCTTTCTGTCTCTCTGTCTTTCTGGTAAGAGCATGCACCCCATAGCAAAAACGTCTCCAGAAAGAAAGAAAAGAAAGAAAGAAAAGAAAGAAAGAAAGAAAGAAAGAAAGGAGATACTGCAAATAAAAACCGTGAGGTACTATGACATACTTAGCACAATGGGTAAAATCAAAACAAACAAAAACCTGACAATATCAAATGCAAAAAAGGATGTGAAACAATTTTATACGTTGCTTATGAAAATGCAAAATCACATAGCAACTTTGGAAAATAGTTTGGCAATTTCTTATAAAGTTAAACATACCCTTAACAATGCAACCCAGCAATCTCACTTTTAGTGTTTATGCAAGTAAATTTAAGACTTAAGTTTACACAAAATCCTGTATTCACATGTTTATAGTAGCAGTATTCCTAACTGGCAAAAACCAGGAACAACCCAGTGTCACTCACTGGCTAATGAAGAAACAAACTGTGGTGCATCTAACACAACAAACCATAAAAGAACAGGCTAATAATATACAATGACACAGACAAATCTTAAAATGT